CGGCCTTAGGCTGGCCCCTAAACAAAAATGTGTACTAGTTCAGTTAAAATGGTCGTCACACTAAGCTTCGAGAGTTCCAATGTCCCCCGCGTTGCACATATTTTATATTTCCAGGGGCAATAACTAAAAAAAACATACTTTTTTTTGTTGTTTTTTAAAACAAGTTATAAATAAAAAGAGTGCGCGGGGGACAAACAAGTTTTTTTTATTGTATACTCAATATTTTAAACAGACTTTCAAGGGCATTACTTATCGTATACTAAAAGTTTTATAAAAAAAAATTGTACCCTTGAGAGCACCAAAGAGGCCATTTTCCATTTAATATTTCCAAGGGTTATATATCTTTTTAAAAAAGTCGATCGTCCACCATTATAGAACTTGTCCGAGTCATTGCTGATATTAACCTATAGTATAAGTTTTATAAAAAAAAACTGGCAAGAATTGGACCCGTGAGAGCGCTAATGAGGTCATTTTCCATAAATTTAATATTTGCAAGGGTCATAACTCTTAAAAAAAGTCGATCGTCCACCATTATAGGTACGAGATATTGCTGATATTAACCTTTGATATAAGTTTTATAAAAATCCGGCAAGAATTGTACCCGTGAGAGCGCTAACGAGGCCATTTTCCTTAAATTCAATATTTCCAAGGTGCATAACTCTTTTAAAAAAGTCGATCGGCCACCATTATAGAACTTGTCCGAGACATTGCTGATATTACCCTATAGTATAAATTTTATAAAAATCTTGCAAGGATTGTACCTGTGAAAGCGCTAACAAGACCGGTCCAACGGACGGACGCCTGGTATTTCCATGTCCCCCGCAACGTGTTACGCGGGGGACGAGAAACATAGAAGACTAACAAAGGCCAGAGGCTCCTGACTTGGGACAGGCGCAAAAATGCAGCGGGGTTTAACATGTTTTGTGAGATCTCAACCCTCCCCTTATACCTCTAGCCAATGTAGAATAAACAAACGCACAGCAATACGCACAGTAAAACTCAGTTTAAAAGAAGTCCGAGTCCGATGTCAGAATAGGTAACAGAAGAAACTAAGCAAAATGACAATGATACATAAAATAACAAAGGACTACTAGAAGTTACTGACATGCCAGCTCCAGACCTCAATTAAACAGATTGAAAGATTATGTCTTCATCATATGAAAATCAAGCACAATCCCTCCCGTTAGGGGTTTAGTATCATACCATCATAAAATATATGAGAGGAACATAACCCGTATCATGCCAACAACTGGTTTTAGAACAAATGTATTTATGTCCGATGCAAAGACCCTATGAGTGAATCAATATTAATTCCAAAATATGTCATCTTTAATGACCTGACAACAGTATCGTTTACTATATCCCTTCTGAATAAGTCTGTTTAAAGGTTTGGTTAGCTTTTGAGGTGAATGACGACATTTTTGTGCTTTGTATAGAATATTACCATGAAAGATTGGATGTGAAGTACCTGAACGTATAAGATGTCTGCATGTTGATTTATATTTATGAATGATGTCCTTGTACCGATGATAAAATTTAGTAAATGTTTAGGCTAGTTTGTGATATCGAAAACCCTGGTGTAATAATTTTCAGTAATACAGAGATTTCTTTCGTCAAAATCAAATACGTTGTAACATACACGAGCGAATCGAACAAGTTGAGATACTAGTATATAAACACCATAAGGTGGTGACAAGGCAACGTCACCATCTACAATGGATAATTAACAATAGGAAATGAAAAATCATCTCTGTTATCGTAAATTTTGGTATTAAGCTTCCCGCTAAAGAAAAAAGATATCAAGATCCAGGAAAGGGCAGTGTTCATTGTTAGTATTGGCTTTTTTTTAAAGAGCCAATATATCATCCAAATATCTGAAAGTGTTATTAAATTTATGTATCAGATGTTGTTTCGATGGGTCTTTGCTGATTTTAGTCATAAATTATAACTCATAACAATACAGAAACAGGTCCGCAATAAGTGGTGAAGTTAGTCCCCATTGGAATTCCGATAACTTGACGATGTACGGAATCTCCAGAGCAAACAAAAATGTTATCTAGTAAAAATTCAAGTTCAGTTATCGTATCAAAGCAGGTCCAATTGACATAGTTCCTTTGTTTGTTGTCACTAAAAAATGACCAAAAGAGTTTGAACATATATATTTGCATTCTGACTTTTTAAATGCCCATTTAATTAGTTGTGTGATTTTTTTCTTAGTGAGATTATGAGACAAAGTGGTATATAGGGTAGAAAAATCAAAACTCTGAATAGATTCGAAATCACCAATATAAGCATGCAATTTATCAAGTACATACAACGATTTTTTGACACTCCAAAAGTAATTAAATCCACTATTTTCAAAGGCCTTATTTGAACAATTTATTACAAGGTTTTTGATTGTACCAAGTGTACTAGTAAGTAGAATAGACAGATTATTAGTGGAACAATGGCTTGAAGACGAAATAAATCTATATTTGTAAGGTGTTTTGTGCAGCTTCGGATGTAAGTACATAGTTGGAACATTCAGTGTATTTGGTTCTGCTTGTAAAGAGGTAGCTTGCGTTTGTTACAGATGTCAATTTCCGAAAATGGAGTCAGTTGGAATGTTGGTGAATTCGTGATTTCCTTTTGCAGAACCTCAATGTAAAATTTACGTCAAACAATAATGATATTATTGGCAGCCTTATCAGCCGGGACAAAAACAAATTCCTTGGCGAGTTCTTTTAGCTTATGTTTGATACGAGAAATAGGGCTATTATGGTTGTTGTTAGGAGTAAAATGTTCTTTAAAATGTTTAATACGAATATCATCTATGTTCATTACTGTATTAAAAAAAGAATCTAAGGATTTTTTGTCAGCTTTTTCTCGTTTTTTGAAATGTTTATTATTTGGTTCCTAATTTTAACCATCTAACATAAACATGGTCAGTACATTACCACCAATTGGACTTAGTGATCACGACATCGTCTATGTAGAATCTGACATCTGGTTACGCACGGTGAGAGAAAAACCTAGAAAAATACTAAAATACAACAAAGGCAACTGGAGTAACATCAAGTCAGATCTAGAAAAAAATCAGTGGAAAACAACATCCCACACAAGTTTCTAACATACAAAAACAGACTACCTTGGATTCATAACAATCTCAGGAAAATGATAAATAGAAAAAATAAATTATACTTTAAGATGAAACAAAACATCAAGTATGCTGACAAGTACAAACATCTTCAAAAAACCAAGTACAAACAGAACAGAGGGCAGCATACTGGGGTTATATTGAAAAAATGATATTGGACCTATCCATAAATGAACCCGACCAACAGTGTAACAGTCAGTCAAAACCTATTCTTCATAAAAACAATGTCGCTCCCCTGAAAAAAGGACAGTTAATTACAAACACAAAGCAAAAGGCAGACATCCTCAACACACAGTTCCAATCAGTTTTTACAACTGAATCAAATAACAGCATTCCAGACAAAGGTCCAAGCTCACACCCCGCGATAACACCACTAGAAATATCATTACCTGGTGTCAAGAAACTTCTACATAACATAAACCCACATAAGGCAAGTGGCCCAGATAACATCAGTGGCAGAATATTAAAAGAACTCAAAGATCAATCTGCTATTCTCATACCATCAGACAGTAGAACCCACAAAAATCATAATTTCACTTTCAGACACATTTCAACCAAAAAAGATACATATAAATTTTCATTTTTTCCATATACCATAACTCAGTAGAATTTACTGCCAATCCATACAGTCGCTGTCACTACAGTCGACACTTTCAAACATTCATTTAATTTATTTTTAGCCTATGTACATAGTTTTAATCTCAATTTTAAAATATTTATGCACTCAAAATTCATTTTCAATTATTTTTGTGTTCTTGTAAATATATTATTATGTAGGCCACGCTGCGCAAAACAGTACATAATCTTCAGATCAATGAAGGACTACAGAAGACCTAAAGAAGAAGAATTTTTATGGTGATGTTGTTTACCAAGCCCGGAAATTTAGATACGATCTGGGTAATCTTATCAATCCTTTAAATAAACTTATTCTAAAAGGTTATCAATTCAACACTGTAATTATATCTTTTAATATTCACGTTACTACAATCTGTCTATATCTATTTTTTGGCATTTCACAAGGTCAAGTTTTTCTCTGAAGGTTAATGACATCTTTACACAAAATTCACTGGATGTTGAATGTGTACTGATTGATATTTTAGTCTTAGACAGATGATTTTTATATTAGTTGTTATTGGCTTTGAACTAGCTGTCAGTTACTGTGATTACTCTCAGATCTGTACTTTGTGTTTTAAGCCATTTTCAACTGATCTTTATAGTGTGTTCTTATGTTGTACTGTTACACCACTGTCCCAGGTAAGGGGGAGGGGTTGGCACCTTCAAACCTGTTTAATCCCCCACATTCTATATGTGCCAGTCCAAAGTCAGGAGCCTGTAATCTAGTGGTTGTCATTTTTTGCTGTTTCTCCTATTTGTTTATAATTTATAGTTTGTTATGGTGTTGTGCCATTGCACCATTAGCCCAGGTTAGGGGAGGGTTGCCGCCTTCAAACATGTTTAACCCTGCCACATTCTATATGTGCCTGTCCCAAGCCAGGAGCCTGTAGTTTAGTGGTTGTCTTTGGTTATGTCTGTCCTATTTGTTTTACGTAAAAATTTTGGTTATAAATTAGGCCATAAGTTTTCTCATATTTTTCATGTTGGGGCCTTTTATAGCCCATTATAGGGTATGAATTTTTCTCGTTGTTGAAGGCCGTACGGTTGCCTATAATTGCTTGCATCCACTTCATTTGAACTTTGTTGGATAGTTGTCTCATTGGCAATCATACCTCATCTCCTTATTTTTATATGAATTACAAGTAGTTTTTCTCCTAAGATGTATTAGTAAAGATGGTTAAGAAGCAAAACCTTCATCAACCAAATGCATGCTACATAATTTTCAGCATGTGGCAAAAATTACCAAAAGTTATATCTAAATTTTCCTTTTATTCAGCAATATACTTCATATCTTTACATTCATAAATTATCAGAAACAACTGACTACCTTATAGATCCAGCATGATAATAATGAGATGATCACAAGCCCTGACCATCACCTTTAAAATACAGGTAAAACCATAACTATCATCCAATCCAATCATTCAATAATGACTATTACAGTTTGTCTGGTTTATAGAATTACTTTGAAAGTAAAATTATTTAATTGGTAAAAATTGTGGCTTTTATTTGTTAATGAAACCACCACAACATTTCTTATGTAATACATCATCTCTATTAAAACTGTTTTGGAATAATTTTTAAATCACAAAGAACTCAAAATATATTCCACACAATAAACAACTACTAGCAAACTCTCATTTATAACAAACTTTATATATATAATAATAAAGGAACCTCTATTTCACACACACACACACACACACACATATATATATAATGTCACACATACATGAACATTCTATAATGGAATGATAAATGACTAGCACCTCAATGATCAGCTATACATGAACACTCATTTAAAAGATCAGAGATACAGTACAGTGCATGGGTGCAAGTATAAATGAAACGGAGATCTGAAAATAAAGGAATAACTAAATGTTTGTAAAGAAAGAATTATACAGAGATAAAATTTAAAAAAACCAGGAAAATCTTGCATATAACAGAAAAGACAGGATAGTTTTGACCTTTTGTTTTTTGTTTCTCAATTTCTTATTAAGCAATTACCTTCATTATCTGACATGTTTAAACCCAAAAATTTGAAAAGCTAAGATATATAAGTACTCTGTATATTGTCAAATATATATAGAATTCAAAAAAGCATACCGTATCTGGCAATAAATTATTCACACAAAAAAAAATTTCAAAATATTTCATATAACACACAATTCTCTTTAGAAAACTTTATATAGGTAGGACAAACTGTATATCTGCCTATACAATCCTTATGGGCATGTTTTGATAGTTTTGATGTACTTCAGCTTTTTAAAAATTTTTTTAATATCTTTTGGTAATCACTTATTTCGCAATTCCATTTTTACCACAAATGTTGAATGTACTTACGAAGTAAAAATTACAGTCAGATCCCACACAACACTTTTAACTTTTAAAAAAATGAGATCATGATGAGTAATACAATAAAAAGATTGAAGAAATAGTAACCGAAAAATGTATGTCACACTTATTTTGCTGACATTTTGGAAACCAATACTCTATTCAAATAATAATAGTCTGCAATAGTATATGAAATACATATGACATGTGCTTTAATATGATATACAATAAATAATTATGAAATGTAACCATTGTCAGATACTATTAAAATGATATCTTAATAAGAGATTTAAGGTTTATAGTGAAATTTAAGTAAGTATTGACTTAAATTTCACCTGATATGCTACTGAGGAACAGAGAAGACACAAATAAAACCAACCAGTATCACACTAGGTATGTAATCAATATCTACCAGCAATTGGCAAAGTGTTATTACATTAATTGCACTAGATTTGTTTCTATATTAACAAGGAATCGAACACACCTTACCTAAAACTCATAATTATAAAATAAACTTTGACACTATGGTACGAAAACTTGAGCATATATATTTCTATGCAAAATATAGTTAAAAGAGTTCTTGACTGATCAAACATTAATGGTAATGGTTACTAGTCATTAATTCTCTCTTTGACAAAGTTTGTTTGAAATAATGAAAACAAATATAGTTGTATACAAATGAAATGACAAAATTCATTCCTTACACTATCACTTTTAACATTTGCACCCATTCATCAACAAGTCCCTTGTACAACATGTGTAATTAAATGTGAAGGAACTTATTTGAAAAAAAAAGTACAACTTTTGACGCAAAAACTGTACCATTCAACACAAACAAGTGTATCAAAAGGGTTTTAAAAAATGTTAAATTTTTAGTATGAAGGACTTTAAATAAAATGTGCTATGGTTAATATGATTCCAGTATTAATTAATTAAAATTTCATTACAATCACCAAGGATTTATATAGTCTCACTATACAATTCCATGCAATCTCCAAGCAATAGGATTGGATAAAAGATATTGCAACTTATATTAAGTCGTCTCCTTACATATACAATACACATATATGATAACAGTAAAACTAAAAAATAATAAAGCTTAATTTATAGAAAGCAAAGAAAAAGAAGTCACGCACTGATACAACCAAAGAAAATCAAAGTAAGAAAAAAAACCCAAACAAGACAAAAGACAAAACTGCTGACTTGTTAAACGGAATGTTTAAATCGTTTTGACTGTTTACTGAAACAACGAACTTTTAAATTTTTTTTAGAGTTAGTTATGTAATTATATGTGCATCTTTTCCAAACAATTGCATTACAAAATCAATGTGTATGTTCATATTCATAAGATCATTGACCAGAGATATTCTATGGTTGTAGTATAATGATCAGAATGGTTAACCCTTAATTTTTTGTTTTAATTGTGAGATAGTTTGTACATGTCTTGTAGTTGGAATTAAAATATTTCATATTCTGACAGTAGATGGTATAAATAACTTTTCAGTTATTTGTAGTCTATGTCTGGATTACAGTATATATGTGGACATTTCATCAAATTATCTTATACATTATTTTGTTAACTCTTATTCAATGTGGTTTATCTAAAAATTGCTGTTAGTAAGTTGTTGATTTTCCCCATGTTTGTTAATTTGCTTAAACATGTTTCTGTTTTAAATCTGTTACATCCAAAGGTGGCGGACACTTATAAAAATTGTTTGTCAATCACTTTTAAATTAGACCAAATGTTATGTATGATAAAACCTACTATGAAATTTGTTTTTATTTTCTGAATACCGTTTACCTAAGTCTAGTTAAGACAATGTAAGATTAATATTGCAGTAATATTTGGGACAAATAAGGGTCTTATTGCCCCATCTCCTTTATTAAAACACTGCAACAAGAGTGCATGATACACCCTAATTGTGAATATTGAACTTATTGCAAAAATAAAATGGGATATTTAGACAACATTTAATCCAAAGTAAACAAAATGGCTCAGTAGAAAAATGTGCATGAGGATACCCTAAGGTGTACAAATATTATGTCAAATATGACTGTTGAAAGTTCCATAAACTCTGGAATGACAAACCAGAAAATTTTCAAAATCTTTAGCAATTCTATATTTACCAATCCCAACAAGTGTTGAGTTTGTAGTAATTTGTTCCAAGCATGAAATTAAAAAAATGCCTTTTATCTATCTGACGGTCAAAGTCCCATAACTCTGGAATGATCTATTGGAAATTTGTTTAAATCAAATGGTTTATCATTTTCACCAATTCCAACAATTAAGTTGTCAGTAAATCAATTCCAGCAAACTAAAGTCATGGTACAACATGTAAACAATTTACTTTTAATCTGACAAATTCTTGTAAATCTAGAACGACAAACCCGAAAACTTTAAAAAATTGAATGGAGCTTTTTTTTATCAATCTAAAAAATAATGTAAAGTTTTAAGGAAATCAATCCAGGCATACTTGAGATAGTGAGTGATATGTGAAAAATCAAAAGGGAGCTTTCTTCCATCAATCTGAGTTATTGAACAAAGTGATGGTGGAAGAACAGATGGACTAACATTGGTAAACCATATAACATCCTGTCTTAAACTGGTGTATAAAATTCCTTTGTGGACACTTTTTATTGGGGAAACTCAACTCTCACTCAAATTTCTACCATGTAAACAAAGATATAATGATATCATCATAAGTACACTAAATCATACACACATGCAAATGTAGGTAAAGGTAGGTAACTAAAATATTTTCAAATCAATGTTATATACATAAGGAGATTAGAGAGGTGAATGGTTTTTAAGAAATGGTCTTGTCAGTCATTTCCAACTGATTTTTACAGTTTGTTCTTGTGTTGTGTTGTTATACCTTTGTACCAGGTTAGTGGAAGGGTTAAGAGCTCTTAAAATATATGTTTAACCCTACAACATTCATGTGCCTGTTCCAGTTCAGGAGAGGAGCCTGTAATTAAGAAGTTATTGTTGGTTGCTGTCTGTTATATCTGGTTTTTTTTCGTGTCTTGGTTTGTCAAAAATTAGGCTGTTGGTTTTTTCATTTGAATTGTTTCATATTTAGTCTAGTGGTTTTTTTTAATAACGGACTATACAGTATGGGTTTTGCTTATTGTTGAAGGCTGTGAGATGACCTATAATCCCTTCAATCCACGTCATTTGGACCCTGTTGGATAGTTGACTCATTGACAATCATACCACATCTCAATATTTTTACATTGTCTGCACAATTATACTAAATCCAGAGAGACATACAAATAAGGATAAATCTATGCGCCAAGCAACATTCATGACAGAGCAAAACAATATGCTAATTAGATGTACAGAGATCAAGATAAGCATCTGCATTTTACAAAATATCAATGCACTTTTAGCATAAAGAAAATTTCTGCTAAAATTTTGGTAATTCAAATAATTTCTGTTGTATTCAATATTTGCACAACTTAAACATAGCAAAATAGCTTTTTCAGATGGATAGTTTTTTGTCATTTCAGGCAAGGTGTGTTCCTGGTGCATGGATTAACATTGAAGCTAGTCATTGTTTTAGTCTGTGGCTGCCTTCTCTTTTACAATATGATTATTAGGACTAGGTTGTGAAAACTTTTCTAATCGTCTTCGTCGCACTTCATGTTGTTCATCCTCATGTTCTTCTTGTGAAGGATCCTCCCAGCTGGGTATCATTTCTTCTGTTGGTGGAGTGTAGCCTGTAGCTCCTTCTAAATCAGATAAATCTTTATCTGAAACAAAAACAAACTTGAATTGTGACAGATATTACAAAAGGATACCCCTTGCCCTACAATACTATTAGTATATTGAAGTATAAAGTAAATTCAATTATCCCTCCTTTAACACGGGAGACAGATTATTTTCCTTCACATCTTCAGGTAGTGATCCCCAACTATGTAAAATTTATCAAAATTCTAGATGTTTAAGAGGCATTGCGCTGGACAATGATAATTTCAACTTTTATGTCAAGAACAGAACAAGCTTTTATCATAATTTATCTTCACATAGATAGTTCAAGTAAATTTGGGTATTTTGATTCATAATATGAAGATTTAACAGTTAATGAAGATAGTTAGGGACATTTTTCTTCACTTCTCAAAATCAAAAGTTTTTTCAATTGTTTCTTTGTTGGTAAATTCATTTCTGTTACTGGTTTTATTGCCCTTTTCAATAATATACTTTTTTTGTTAATACTTGTAATCATTTTACTATGTCAAATTGTTTATTTCTAGTGCTTTTTAATATGTCATTACCTCACAGGCCACTTGTTTTTAACATGTATTTGCAAGTCACTTTATAAGATTTTGTAATGAATGCAACAGTTAAAAATCAAAATGATGTTAATGACCTAAAATTGCAAAAACCACAGGAATTGACAATGCTATATTCCATTTTGAGAAAAGAAACATAACCTGAAATTGAAAAGTGTTTTTAAATCAAGAAAAAACATGGGTATACCATCCAGGTTTTTAGATACAAGTCTGAAAACTTTAAAATTAATTTGTTTGGATATTTTCACTGTGCACATTTCATCAGAGCTGCTCGTTTTAGACTTGTTTTCAGTCCTTTTTGCTACTGATATTGTTGCCTGCTGCCTGGATTAAGAAGTGTCTGCTATATGAACAAAAATTTTATAGAGATATGTGTTGAGGAGTCCTGGACTCACATTATGAGCAGGTGCACATTTTATGGAGATGCAGTTAGACAAGGTTTGACTGTATCAATATATTTCTCATTAACTTTACTTACATTTAATAAATAGTTAAAATCTGATCTTACCTAAATCCCTATCATTATTTACTACTGGTGATGATTCTTTAGATTTCTCTCTACTAGATGAAGCTTTATTTGTATCTGTTGGTGTATTATTACTGGGTGTACCAGATAAATTAATATTTGGTATGCTGAAAGAAAAGAGAATTTTTCTTTAAATACAAGTGTTTCATTTGCAAATCAGAAACATACAGCTACTAGATTGTTATAAGAGAACAGTGGTCCAAAGAATGTTTCAATCAGCATTCATTTTTGATTTCAATCCAAATATTTTTAAGATAACTTATTAATATCCATTTTGAACTGCATGAATGAAGGTGCTTAAGAGACAAGTCAATTTCTTAAAAAAATAATTTTAAGGCATATAAGGCCAATTAAAATTAATTGATAGATTTTCATCCCCGCCCGCCCCTCTGAAATCGTCCTGCCCCGATTTTTTTTATTTTACGATTTCCGGACTTTGTTCATTTCCGTTACAGATAACCGGCGATAACTTCACTTCATTCAAAACTTCCTGTTTCAAATTTGGTTTTCGTATTTCTTCGAGGAATATAAGTCTACATATTCGTATGCTCAATGATGACAACATTATCTTCTGAGAATATAGATTGATTACTAGAAGGGCATGAAATATTTGGGTTACGAGTAATAGGCAGTGCCCTTAAGAACGCTAATCGCGGTATGTCACAAATTTCAGTGAATAGAAAACCGTGGATATTTTTTATTTATACAATGACTTTGTGTCAGATAATTTGGACTGTGAATGATATCCAAAGCCCAAGAATCGTGGAACGCATTGGTACAAAAACATGACTGGAATAAAGTTATTGACACAAGCACGAACAAGTGCAATTTATGACCGTATATTGAAAACAAAGAGTCAACCAACGTACAAAATGTATTATAGCAAGCCCTTAGATTAACCCCAAGGCTGTCATTTTTGTTGACAAACAGCAAACAGCCTCTGTCCCCAGCCCTTCAATAGAGTCATTAAACAACTTTTTCTTTTTGGTTCAGTTCATGATTTGAATTGTAATTACCATGATTATATTTTCACCTTGCAAAATAATCTTAAAAGCATCAACCCTAGTATTTTCAACACAGTTTGAGTTTTCATTTCACTCTGTACTCATGATATTTGATTGATTGTTGATTGTTGGTTGCTTAATGTCCAGTGGCAAATATTTCATGCATTTTCAGGACGAGAACAAATTAACAATAAATACAATAGGTATGTCCTGTAATAGAGGCCTTTCGGAATGAAGGTCGGGGTAAATTTGGACTGCCAATGGAAAATGAGGGTATAATGGATAGGGGTAGAAATTTACCCTTGCAACAGGCCACCTACGAACCCCTCAAAGAGTTGTTGCAAGGGTTCTTAACGTGCAGAGAGCATGGCACTCTCTCAACAGGAAGCATCAGATTTAACATTCTCATTCTGACCGGACGTGGCTGCGTATTTGATACATCCTGCACAGCCAAACGGACGCCCCACTTTGGCAAGGCTTTTACTGCCAGTTGGAAGAAGACCTGTAGTGACCATATTTCTATTCCCCAGTCACCCTTGGGGATCATATTTGTGTTGCATACCAGTGCATATGCTTCATTAAATGAGCACTACAAATCATAGCTTAGAAAGCAAAACAAATTTGATCTAGATAGCCTAAAAGAGAACATTTCTCCATGTTTTTGCTATTTACTAAAAATAGGTTTCTAAAGCGGCAATTACATGTAGAACAGTGGTTGCCAATCAGAAATATTAATTTAAGTATTTGAAAAATAATGTAGAATTCCATTACATTATATACATGATATAAGCTCATTATTATCCTTGTACATGAACAACACGTCACAAAAAGGTTTAGAGGGAAATAAAAATTAAAAAATATTATTCTCCCACCCGCCCCGTTTTTTCAAAAATCTGGATGAAAATCTACTAATTAATTTTAGTTGGCCTAACTTCCATAAAATTTTTCAATAGGGTTCAATATTTCATATGATTGATAAAAGAGAGAAAGTGCTTACATGCAATTTTCATATGATTTATATTTACAAAGAACATAACTATCATAAAAATATTCAGTCAGCACTGGTTTTAGGAACTCCATCAATATATTGGTAATAAAAATATACACATAAATTTGATCAAAACCTATAAGGTATTGAAAGTGTTAAAGCACCTTTGATTTAGTTTAAACGTATTTTATTTGCTAAATATCAGCAAAATGGATGAGGCACATGATACTTATGAAGTCTTCTGCATTATAACTTTTGCTCACAAATTTTTCACAATTTGTTCTATATAAAAAAAAATTCTTCAACACTGGATTGTAATTTAATCTATATTTTGTTGTGTCTTCGTTAAAATTATCCAAGAACAATTATTCACATGAAATAATATTTTTTCAAAGGCTTTCATAAACATTTTGATTGACATATGTTTGTTGAACTCATGTAAAATATTGTTAATAATAACATTTATAAATTTTTAATTATCAAAATCAATCAATGTTAGTTTGAGAGAAGGTTAGAAAACTAGAACCAATAAATTTTGTTATTAGAGTTATGTCCTTATGAAAGGCTGACAGACTCGATGCCTCATCAAGGACTAAAATTCTGTGTTATCTCTATAATTAAGTGTGCTTAAAGAGACCGAATCCATGCTGATATCTATGCACCTACACATAAAATATTTTTCACTTAATATCATACCAAACTGACCAAAATAACAAAAAATATTTGGTAATCTAATGTTCATTTTAAAATTTTTTGAAGATCTTGTCCAAGCTACTTATTACATAACTACATGTATGTCTGCAGACATGTAAAGAACTGTACCTAGACTGTGATGCTACTGTATTATATTGTTGTATCAGAATCATAGCACCATCTAAAAGACACTGTATATCTCTAAGCCATTGTATTCTGGCTTCAACGTTTTGTCTTTCTTGGCCTTCCATAACTTTTAATTCTTCATCTGTTAAACCTTCAGGTCTTGTAGGTGGTAAAGGCATTCCTGAAAAAAATTATGCAAGATATTTAAATAAACTAACATAAAAAGATGTAATCCACATAATTGTTCAACAAAACAATGAATATTTCCCAAAAGGTAATTAATAACAATTAAATGAAATCAGACAAAACTAGTTGGTTTTTGCATGAATTTTGAAAACAAAAATAAAATCAGCCTTATGTGTGAGATATTATTTTACAAATCCAAAAAAACAAGTTTGAAAAGAGCAGGATACAAGGAACTTGGTGCAAACAAAATATTTTAAAAATTTTGACAAAAATTTAATGCTTGCTATTTTTCTGGATGCAATATTTTTTAGCTTACTGTATTGTCAGCATGACGTGATTTGAATTTCAGCCAATAAAATATTAGTGTTTATATGAATTGAACACCTACTGTTAATATATAAATGTAAATGCAATATAGCTGTAAACAATAGTGTATCAAATCAAATCAAGTGTCAAATGATACCTGTTAGTTGTACAGTGTGAATAGCAGCATGATTGATCTGTATTCATAGTTTTCAACTGACTTCAACCTTTTATAAGAGACGTTGATGATTTTGTATTTTTACTGTAGAGAAAAACATCAATATTGCTAGTTTGACATATTACCTTGACCACTATATGGCATAAAAAATGGAAACATTGGTGGCATGAAGGGTGGCATATTTGGTACTGATGTGGGTGGTGTTGTGGAGGGATGTGTTCCAGTGGCTGATACTGTAGAAGTTCCACTCCCTGGAGTGTTAGGTGTGGTTGGTGTAGCTGGGGTGCCAGTTGTGGATGCTCCAGAAGTACCTATAAAAATTAATTTATCTGCTTATAACAGTAACAAAATTTGACCAGCACATTTAATCTGTACAAATTTTTATTTATGATATTATTCCAATATCAAGAATTGAAATATGTTTGCATTGAAGCATCATCTAATGTGGACTGATACATTGATTATACAATTTAATGGAATAAATAAACTGTTAACACAGATATATGTCTCGCCTTTTTGTACTTTTGATAATGCAAATGTTGAAATTAAAATAGCAATACTTTAACATGTAAGTTATGCAAATATTCAAAGTCAATGAACCATGACTGAAGGTACATGTCAAAACAATCTCCATGGAAATGAGATGTGCCAATGCTAACACAACTGCATACCAAATACCATAGACTTATCATAAGTCGTTCTCTTTCAAGAAGCCTAAACACAAACATTGACTTGTGAACTATGTAAAAATTTCAAAGTCAATGAACCATGATGAGGGGGTGGGGCTATATAATCTCCATGGAAACGAGACTTGCAAATGCCAATAATTTTGCATACCAAATATCATTGACTTAACATTAGCAGTTCATCTTAAACTGGCCTAATCACAAACTAATACATGTAAACTAAGCAAAAGTTTCAAAGTCAATAGACCATGACTGAGGGGGCAGGGCCATATAATCTCCATGGAAATGAGATGTGCCAGTGCTAATACAACTGCATACCAAATATCATTGACCAACCACTAGTGGTTCACCTTAAACTAGACCTAATCACATTGTTGACGCCAGAAACAGCATACCTATGTTTTGCTTTTTGACTCTGTCAAGGCGAGACAAAAAAAATGTTAATAGTTTAAAAACACTACATGCTTTTTTTAACTACCAGCCATGTTGGTTAAACAGCAAATATCTTCAGACTTTATGGTAAAAGTATTTATACACACTAATTTTGTTTCATAACTAACTTTAAGAAATGAAACGTTTATGGTCCCATCTTTTTTTTATCTTTAATAAGTGTTTGCCATCCTTTTTAATGCACATATAGTGTAACAATGTTACTGCCCTATTTAGGTTTATTCACACCCTAAGTTTCAATATTTGTAGCTTTTAAAACTTGGCATTCAGCATACAACAGTTTAATACATGTGTTGTGCGTTCCCAATAGGGATCTTCCTGTTACTTCTGTCAATGGTATGAAACAATTCTTGGTTGATTGCCTACCCATTTGTCACTACTTAACATTGGCAGAATATGGAATTTTTTGTGTGACAAACTCATTACGGTTCTTTTCTAGTATCTGCTGTGTTTATTTTAAATTATGGGTCGATCAGATCATGCATAATGCTTGATAAACTCCCTTTAATATGTCACTTTCTTTAAGAATTGCTATTTTAGAGTTACCAAACCTTGGGTTTAAAGCATGTCTGCTTGATCAAACTTTAAGAAAAAAATAATGATTATTTAAAAAAAAAAACATTTGCTGTCCACACTAAAACTAGAACTGCCTTGGAGCAAGGTAAATATCCCTGCTAGCCCCAAATATCTATTTTATTCAATATGTTTTTTAAAACTATGTTAGGATCCTACTTATACAAGTTCAGGAACATCTAAGGGAACATGTAGGAGGAGTTGCATATAAAATGTGCATATTGAATAGTATCAAAAATTTATATGTACAAAGGAATATAATTCTGGAATTTATCAACAATTCAGGATGTCTTACTAATAGGCACATCTTACTATTAAGATCTTTCAATCTGCAAAGTTTTGTGTTCATCTGGTGAAGCTTGTAGTAGCAGCTGCTTCCATTTAGCGCATACCAAATACTATTAAAAATTCGTAAGGGTTCCGCGGAACCCAGTGTCTCGCCTACTTTTGCTGTTAATAGCAGGCTCAACAAAAATGAGGAAAAAAAATAATAACAATATTACATTCGATACAATCTTTTGATTGTAAGAAGCTTCTGTCCCAATTTGGTAAAAATCCAGGATAGTTTATGAATCTAATAAATGTTTTAAATCTTTAACTGCAGACTGTATGTAATGTTAACTGGAAGAAAAACTAAGTCCATTTATAAGTAAAATACTGATAAACAGGTACAAAATTTTTAAAAATTTCCTTCAAGATACTAGCTTTTGATCATAAACAAGCTTCTAACCAAATTTGGTACAAATCCAGGATAGTTTAAGAAAGTTATTAAAATTTTAAAAACTTTAACCACAGAGTGAATGTAATGTTAACTGGCAGAAAAACTAAGTCCATTTATAAGTTAAATACGGAAAAAATGGAATTTTGTTTTTTACAAATTTACTTCTGGATACTATCTTATGATCATAAACAAGCTTCTGTCCAAGTTTGGTAGAAATCCAGGATAGTTTAAGAAAGTTATTAAAATTTTAAAAACTTTAACCACAGAGTGAATGTCATGTTAACTGGCAGAAAAACTAAGTCCATTTATAAGTTAAATACGGAAAAACAGGATTTTTTTTTTACAAAATTTAATTCTGGATACTATCTTATGATCATAAACAAGCTTCTGTCCAAGTTTGGTAGAAATCCAGGATAGTTTAAGAAAGTTATTAAAATTTCAAAAACTTTAACCACAGAGTGAATATTTGTGGACGCCGCCGATGACTACGACGCCGACGGAATGTAGGATCGCTATGTCTCGCTTTTTCGACAAAAGTCGAAGGCTCGACAAAAATGGCTAATAGTAAAGGGGCATAACTCTGGGATTTGTCAACAGAGCCGGATGCACTACTTCATGTTCTTTATAATGTGTAAAGTTCCATGAACATTTAATGAAGCATATAGGAAGAGTTGAGTTAATAATATTAAATTTTCTAAGTTCAGGTGGTATATTCCATATAGTCTAGGGAGAAAAATCCTTCATGCTTTAAAGTTGACATACCATTATCTGTAATTGTACAAAGTTGATTTGGTCAGAAGATTCGAGCGGTAGTTTGGAGATAGGGACAGACAGACAGGACACTTCCTGAATACCCTAATCTTTGTTTGCAGGAGTTTAATAACCATATTTTCATATTAATCCCCATCAATGTCATGAAATGGTTCAAAAATGCACTCATGTTTCAAAATTATTGAACAGTAATTTAACATATTTAAATTAACTTTGAAATGTTGATGAATGAACTAGAAAAAATATGAGTTCTTAGCCTAAAATAGATTTTATTAATGTTAATGACGAGACATATTTTACCTGGTTGTTGTACAGGCTGTTGCTGTGGTGGCCATCCTGGTATAGGTGGCATACCTGCAAATCCTTGAAATACTGTAAATACAAAGTCATATTTTCGTCACTCAAATGGTCAGTTGCCATATACATGTATATAAATACACTAAATAACAATTAAAAAATATTCATAGAGAAAATAATAGGGAGACCCTTGTAAGGCCAATTAAAATTAATTGATAGATTTTCATCCCCGCCCGCCCCTCTGAAATCGTTCCGCCCCAATTTTTTTTATTTTGAAAAATTTACGATTTCCGGATTTTGTTCATTTTCGTTACCGGTAACTGTCGATAATTTCGTTTCATTAATAACATCCTGTTTCAAATTTTGGTTTTTGCATTTCTTTGTATGTTTGATTCGTTATACATGTATATACATGATAGAACCTTATTATTAAACTTGCATATATGAAGAACACGTCACAAGAGCGTTTCATATCTAATAAAAAATAAAAAATAAAATCCTCCCACCCACCCCATTTTTTTCAAAAATTTGGATGAAAATCTACTAATTAAATTTACTTGGCCTAACAAGTATTTCATTATTAATGAAACAATTTTAATTCATTATTATTCATTTAATTCATTTTTTGGATGAAATTCAATAAGACAGAACCCAATATTAAATGCTTTCTATATATAGATACCAAATTCAGTACTATCCCAATATTAAATAATAACCAAAAAAAAGTTGAACTAGATCACTAACGATAACCCATTATGAGTATTCTGTTAACAGGCAGTTAACGAATGATGGTTACAAAAACACATTACAATGTGAAGCATGCTGTCATGAAGATAAATACTACATGTTAGAAAGCTCTGATTCATAGCTTTTGAAAAAATATGACAAAAAATTCATACATCGCCATTACGAGTAAGAAAAAAATCTTTCCGTAAAAAGATAATAATGACGTCAGAAACAGAAGATGAATGAAGCACAGACAATGAAATCATAGTAAAAAATAATCTCTGGATTAGTTTATACATAATTGCTTAACAAATATTATGAAAAAAATCCAGGTAAAAATTGCTCATTCAGAAATGTAAATGTGTGAATTGTTTACTGCCCAAGCAAAACTGATAATAACAAATGAAGATTTCAAAGGATAACAATAATAACAATCCTTACAGTTTTGTGGCATTTGTGGTTGTTGAGGTTGCTGTTGTTGTGGTGGTGGTGTTTGTGGCACTTGCTGTGGTCTTGGAGCTTGTAGAACATCCATTCTACATGTTGGACATGTCTGTTGTCGTTGGAACCATGATCGTAAACAGCTAGTATGAAAGATATGGTTACATGGAAGTTTCTTGCTGAATTCAATCATGTCCTCTCTACATATAATACAAGTATGATCTCCAGCTTGTAGTTCCTCTGCTGTGGCATCTGGATAACTGAATTAAAAGGACATTTTAAGCATTTAAAGACCATTCCTATATAGCTTGCAAAATGAATATATATTTCATAAAGGGTTCCATGGAACCATGTGTTTCATTTGTGATTACTGCTATCAGTGTCAAAGTGTAATGCTGATTGACAAAATAAGTCCATTTATCAGTAAAATATAACAGAAGGGATAAAAAAGCAATTGCCCCGGGTGCTATCTCTTGATTACGAAGAATCTTCTGTAAAAGTTTTGTAAAATTCAAAAGAGGTATGAAAAGTTATTCAAGTTTTAAAATCTTTTTCAGACTGTACCTTAATGGTGACCAAAAAAAAACAACTAAGTCCATTTATTTGTTGTACAATACGTAAAATTACAAAAAAATTAGTCAAAATTTTACTCTAGATTGTTATGATGAAGTTTCTGTCAAAGTTTCCTCCAAGTTGAAAAATGGTTTGAAAATGGTTATCAATTATTTACATTGTTTTCAACCCTAGACAGAATCTTTATGTTAAGTCCATATATCTGAAAGTGAAATATGAATGAAAAAAATAATGCAAAAGTTTGATCTTGATGCAAACAAATTTGTCTATACAAGATATAAAAGGTATAACAGACCAGGGCTGCCAAAAAATCTTTGAGCCAGCCGGACATTTTTTTGGGTCTTATCCCGATGTTAATCCCTTAAGACTTAGTAACAACAGGCAACCATAGTAATCAGTTGGGCATCATATAGATTATGTTTGTCACAAAAATGATATTTAAATTGATTTTTTATTTAAATTGGATGTTCTGGCGTTAACTGTTAAATTGACAGTGCACCATTCAAAGTATCCAACATCAGCGTACTAATTTCTGCCTTAGACTCTTTATTTGTGCAAAATTACGCTGTCAATAACTTCACTTTTGTTTTTAAAAAGTACATTTTCCTAATACCTGATGTTGACTTGACAATGGTAAAACACGGCCCAGAAATGGATACGCAGAATCCGTGTACGTTTACAAAGCACGACTGAGTTTAAGTAGCTCTTTCCACGTTATTTCTTCAGGAAAATACTTGAAATGAACGTTAGATAAAGGCATCAATGATATTTTTAGCATTTTTGAAAATTCAGATGCATAACTAAATCTCACACCTGCGCACATGCGCACGAGTGTACTAGTTCAAACAACATGGTTCTATTTCTGATTAAACTTCAACAGTGAGTGATTTTTGTGTGACTTACAGTGTGTTCATATTTCTTATGGCTCTCCTCGACATAATCACATCATGTAAAGCTTTCTTAAATCCCCTGAAAAAAAGTACATTCAGTTTCAAAATTCATCCATATAATGTATGAAATAAAATACTGTCACATTTTTTTTTGGCTAAAACACAACCTTTATGAGGTAAGTCAAATAACATCCCTTACATAAGAGTTTATATCTTTCTTTTTAAAACATAATGTATATAGACATTTAATTTTTCGTTTTGTCATAAATCAGGCTGTCGGTTTTCTTGTTTGAATTTTGTTTCACATTTTGTCATGTAATGGCCATTTATAGATGACTATATTGTATGGGCTTTGCTCAGTGTTTAAGGTTGTAAGGTGACCTATAGTTTTGACATCCACTTTTTTGGACTCTGGTGGATAGTTGTCTCATTAGCAATCATACTGCATCTCCTTATTTTAAAATAGTTCCTTCATCAATATGAATCACTTACAAATATAACTCTAGATGGCAATACTAATTAAAACAGCAGATAATGTTAGCTTACCTAAGTGATAAATACATTGGTCTGATAGCAAACAATGGGAAAGTATGCACTTTTATCATGATCATCATAAATGCCATGTACAATACAACTTTAATAAAACCTAGAATAGACAATAAAGCTTATTTAAAATGTTTACATTATTATTCAAAACTTCATTAAATTTGTATATCTATTATTATTTCATCAGTAAAGATCATTTCGCTATCAATGCCTTTCTTCAAACTAATTACTATAGAAACTGAATAACCATCCTTTCCAGATTACGAGGTGTCGTTCTCCCTTAAAGTAAAAAACTATTAAGTTTTCTGTTGCTTTTGATTAAAAATTGTTTTGTCATCATATTACAATAGTATTGCTTATCTTTCTAATTTGTTCATATCAAATGTAAAATATCTATAACCAGAAATGCTCAAATTCATTTTATTTTTTTAGACAGATGATCCAACACAGAAGTTGAAACTTGTATGTTATATTGATTGCTGGATAAATTGGAACAATTAATCAATTTATATGTTTTCAACAAGAATTAATGCAATATTGCACATAGCACTGATACTGATGTCCTTCAGAGAATTAAAACGATTATCTATTAGTTGATTATATCTTTTTTTCTAATCTTACTTACTCCTCTTTACATTACGTCTTCATTATAGATATCACTTCATCTATTATATTAGCTGATAATCTTTGATTATCTCATCTCGGTTCTTAAAGTTCTCCTTTGTTCATGAGAGAGGTCAATGGAAGATTTTATATATTGTTGCAATATCATTTACTTTAAGCATACAGTACTATTCTATTCAATTTTGTTTAAACATTTTGATTATTTTCACTCTACATCTAGTAAATGTTTTTGTAAAAGGTCTCTTACAAATTTCATTAAAGGTTCAAGATATCAGAACTGCACAATCTTAACACACTGCATTACTAGACTGTTTGTAATATCCATCCACTGCCTTACAAGACAGTACATAGTAAAGTGAGCAATAGAGTGTTAACAATATTTACCTAATACAAGTTCTGTATACAACAAATAAACAGCTTTATTTTCCCATGGGTTCTCATTCTGTGCATCTAATGTGTGTAATATATACTTCACAAAAGCCATAAATAATACTGTCAGAAGTATAGCATACTGAAATTGAAATATGAGTACATTATGTATCACAGTTACATGCATTATTCATAAAAGCTGCAAAGAGAACTACATAATGTACTATCATCATAATTTATAAATTATTTAAAGATCTATTAATTTGATTGAATTATAGGTTATGATTATTGAAGGAGTACATACATGTATTTCATTCTTGTTGACTTTTGTCATGGACTATATTTTTTACATCTACATCATTGAAAATAAAATCAATCAACTTTTTTTACATGAAGGCCACTTTTAAAACTGAATTCTGTAAATTAGTAAATTATTGCAGGGTTTTTATTAATGCGAATAATGCGACTGATTGAGTATAGCAATAATATGAACACACATTCTGATATCTGATACATATATCTGTACCGGTATGCAGATTGTATTGAAATCACATTAATTAATCTTGCATTTTTGTCCATTCTTCAAAAATCGCAATAATAAATGCACGCAATAATTTGTGAATTGACAGTAATAAGGAACATTTTATGAAAAGAACTTTAATCATTTGGAAGCTACTCACATGACTTTTTTTACTGTTGAAAGTGTATCGTATGACAAACAACAGTTAGCTTACAGATTGTATTAATTTATATTAAACAGCACAGCAATTGGGTTTTTCAGACCCAATAGCTTTAGGAAAACCTTGGCTGCTACTCACAATCCAAATGTTCTGCAACCAAAAGGTGCCAATCTTTATATATAATTCCTCAGAACAAAAATTTTCTGGATCAGGGATGGTGGCCAAAATTAATTATGCTAAAAACTGGAAAAAGTGAACCAAAACTGACGTTACAACACATAATGCATAATCATAATAATCTGAGGTGTCAAAAAGATATTTTTTGTGTATTAATAGTAATATCACAACTATATTTGAGTGAAACTTGTAGTAGTTTGGCCTGAATAAAAAAATATAAAAATCTAAGGACCAATTTTTAGCCTTTCATGAACCTCCTTTAACATGTTTAAACCCTTGTACAGAATTCAAAGACTAATTTCATATGAACTATTACCTCAAATCCAAACACAAGTTGGACAGAAGCTCCTTTCAATAGAGTACTATAGTATGCATGGTTGATAAAATACAGATCTAATATCCCCAGCAATGTAATTAAAGCTGAAAAGAAAAGACGATTGTTTATAAATGAAAGTCCAATGACTTAATACAGTTGCTATACATATTCTCCACTCTATTAATTTCTATAGATCAGAAATCACTTCTACCCTGACTGAACAGATCGATGTTCTGTTAAACAAAAGGTAGAGAATGATATTGGTTTCGATTCATCTTATTAATATCTCAATACTAACATTTAACGATTAGTTATGAATGATGATCTCAGAGATTATCCTTTTTAAATAGAGCCTTTCTTATTGACATCAGCATTTAAGCATGACTGATCAGATGAAATTTATTTCTGTTCAGTAGATTCTGAGAAAAGTGCGACAAAAAAAGTTTGAAGTTCATTGAACATATTGAAAAGATCAATATATCGGCAAACAGGAAGTAGGTATCTGACAATAAAATGACCAAAATATTAAATTTGTATGATTTTATATCTTATGTTGAGAAATAAATATAGAATAATGGCATTTTTGTTTTTGATACTGACTTTATCAGCAAGAATATCAAGCGAGCCTGCTAGGGAGAGCTGATATTCCAGCTACGAAGTCAGTATCAAAAAATAAAATGCCATTATTCTTTTTATCAGCAATTTGTCTTAACTGTATGCTTTTTTGGTTAAGAATATGAAGTAAAATGAAATAATAAATAAAAATACTTTTACGCATACAAAAAGTTGGAATAGTTGTTCGGTTGTATGAATGAAGTCGTGTGCATTTCATTGATAAATTGATGCAGATGGACTTGAGCACATAACCTTACTGAACTGATACATGACGTCATTGCCTTATATTTTCGAGTATCAAGTCCTGTCCATGATCTTTAAATATTAGGCAGTAAGATCAATGGGAAAATATACAAATTGCCGATAATATAAAACACAACCCTTTTCCAAAGAATTATTCACATAGTAAGTTTATTTAGTGTGTATCTATAAGCTTGTTAAATTGTTATTGGCACTGCATGTAGTGTTTGTCAAATTAGTTTAAATCTTCCTGAAATCTGCATATTTTTGCTGAAAAAATCTGAAACCGTCCTTACGATGTCACTTAAAGGACATCAAATTTAATTTTGGGTTTACAAACCTAAGCTGATGTCCATATTTTCTGAAAGCCATTACTCTGAATAGTCAAGTAAAACTAGAGTGTACAGACTCCTTTCTGTGAATGATTTAAACAAGGTTTTTTTATAGGTAGTTTTCCTCCTAAGGAATATTGCATTTGTCCAATATAAAATTTATTTAAAGTTTGATTTATTCTTTCAAAATTATATACTCATATAGCTGACAACCACTAAGGTTTATGGTTCGCATACACTAATTTCTACTGCAGCTGTTAAATGAGTTGAAAGTATACATGTATTTATTAAAGTTGAGCATACACGTGTTTTCTATTATGTAAACAATCACACGTGATTGTGTGTCCGCATAGTGGCCATCTATTGGTGTTTATATTGGATAAACAGGTTTGTGTTTTAAATATATGATATTTCGGATTGGTCAATATTTGTCGCGTTGCGTAAATATATTGAGTATGATATTTGTTATGTAAATAGCACGGGATTTTTAAAGCGCGAATAGTTGTCTTGTTTAAGTAATTTAAGATATATGGTCATTCGAAGCTCGTATACCGTTCAGTAAGGCAGCTTAGTTTAGGTTAAGACCCCTCTCCCCCCCACCCGGATTAAGATGCTTGTATATTTGAAATGTTTTCACGCATAGATAGATAGATATTTATACTATCAGTAGGACATTGTTTGTTTGATTATTAAGATTTATATGTATATATGATTTCTGATTTTGTTTTTCTATTTTGTAGGCTGTTGTGTACTACGCAGCGGTGTTGCCGATATCATGACATCGGGACTCAATATTTTGTTTTAATAAAATTTAACAGTAAGCTGCACATGCTGGCGAGCTATTCCTATGTAACAAGTGTTTGTTTTTATTTTATAAATACTTTATATGCGTTTGAGGTGACGAATTAGAATATAAACATAATTACATTTACAAGTATGGCTTTGGAACTTGATAAAACAAACTGAAATAGTATTGTCAAAGAATGTGTAATTACTTTCATTTAAAATCAACTTTCAGCTCAATACTTACTTATTGCCCTCAAATGAAACAACAACGAAATAACAGGACTTCTTTCCATCTGTAAATATATATTAGAAGTAATCATTTCATGAATAAAATAAGTGACAGTGAAATAGAACAGATTTATTTGGTGAGCTAGAGTCTGTAGGTGGCCTTTAGCAAGACTATATAGATTTATTTGGTGAGCTAAGAGTCTGTAGGTGGCCTGTAGCAAGACTATATAGATTTACTTGGTGAGCTAAAGAGTCTGTAGGTGGCCTGTAGCAAGACTATACAGATTTATTTGGTGAGCTAAAGTCTGTAGGTGGCCTGTAGCAAGACTATACAGATTTAATTGGTGAGCTAAAGTCTGTAGGTGGCCTGTAGCAAGACTATACAGATTTATTTGGTGAGCTAAAGTCTGTAGGTGGCCTGTAGCAAGACTATACAGATTTATTTGGTGAGCTAAAGTCTGTAGGTGGCCTGTAGCAAGACTATACAGATTTATTTGGTGAGCTAAAGTCTGTAGGTGGCCTGTAGCAAGACTACTGTACACCAACTTATTTTCGCGAGCGATTTATTTTCGCGAGTAGAAAAATAACGCAAATATAAATCGTCGCGAATATGCAAGACTTGGATCCTTCCTTCAAGGAAATTAGAAAATCGTGAAATTAAATAGTCGCGAAGTATTCTAGAAAGGGTAAAACGCGAAAAAAAGTATCCGCGAAAATAAGTTGGTTTACAGTATATAGATTTATTTGGTGAGCTAGAGTCTGTAGGTGGCCTGTGGCAAGACTATATAGATTTATTTGGTGAGCTAAAAGTCAGTAGGTGGCCTGTAGCTAAGAGTCTGTAGGTGGCCTGTAGCTAGAGTCTGTAGGTGGCCTGTAGCAACACTATATGTATATGTTTGCTCTTATAAAACATATCCTTTTTTCAAGTGGAAGTCCATATTTGTGTGCCTTCCAGTCTGGTACATCCACTGTTCGATGTAAATTATTCTCGTCCTAAATTTGCATGACTTATCTCCAACTGGACAATAACCAAATAACAATCAATCCGTCAACCAATGAGATTGAATAAACAATTGATTAAAATTTATTAAACTCCAATGAACTTTTTACAAATACAATACTGTTATACTGTTATTTCTAAATATAACTGTGAAATATTGAAAGAATTAAAAATTACATTTCAAAATTTTGAACATTGTTGTCATCAGAGATTGATTTAATTAACTGTTATGTATATAATGTCATGTTTGCTACCAATTCCATTTATATGTTATGTATAAATTATTTATATAGTTTTATAGTAATCTGACTTTTCCACTGTGATACTTACATAATCTATTCTGTCCTCTGCTAGCCAATGGAAACACTTAAGAAAAAGAAGTATGGTAAAAAGAGCTACAAATCTGGGACTAAAGTCATCTCTAAATACTGTGAAGGCTAGACAGGTTTCTGTTACAGCATACCATGACCTCTCAATTAAATGCTGAAAATAGATAAACAAACATTGTCAATGCCTAGCACTGATAATGCCTAATCTATGAAAAGTCAAATAAGAGTATAATAAATTGCTTTGCTGAGCGCAGCTGGATACGACCGCAGAGGTCCAACCCTGAACAGATGGGGCAAAAATGGACACAATATTCGCGCTTGATACAGGTCTGAATTTGGATTGTAATTAAATATTTGACACATAAAAGGTTTCTGACACAGAATAACTGTAGTCAAAGAACTTAGAATTGGTTATATGATTTGAATTTATATTCAATTTTTTGCTTTTGTGCAATGTGCAATACACTTTGCTGTTGCGAATTGACCCCCCCTCCCCCCACACAAAAAAAAAATGCGTTTTAGAAATTTTTCTCTATTCTTTTTAAGGCATTTTGGTTATAAAGCTTCCAATCTACATGAATTTTATCCACTCTGATTGACTTGACTTTTGGCAATGATTGCTTAGTTCAGAAAACCTCAGAGTTTTACTTCAATGATTTAATTATTACCTCCATTTCAGCAGGTCTAAGCTGACCAAAGAATACTTTCCTCATCAGTTTACCCATCAGTATTACAAAGACAAAGGCCTGAATATACAACATCTGCAAAACAAATAAATGCTCTATTATTAGTATTTACAGGGTATCAAGCTCAGGAAATTTAAAAATTGTATATATATATGTGTGTCTAGAAAAGCATGCATATCAGCATCCTGAATATAATTGGAAACAACACTTGTCTAAATGTTTTTATCAATTCATTTTTTCTGTATTGAATTCAACCATTTTGTCAACATTCTGTACAAAAACTTTAGGCATTGCACAAGATCATGTCTTCCTGCACTTTTCATGATTTTGCTGCAATTGATACATGCTAGGTTGTACAATGGCATGAGGTTTATATATCACCAGGTAAAGTAATTTAGCTTGCTAGCAGAAATTGCAAGCATTCTTTGATATGGTACATGTAGTGACCTGCATTTTTGTTGCCTTGCTTATTACCAGTTCAGTGGTTTTTTTTTAACTTTAAACAGGTTTTTTCTCTTGGTCTTTAAATGTACTGTTTGTATACTCAACTGATTGAGGTTGCTGCTGCATTTGCAAACAGGCAGGACAGAATTATTTATTGCTCAATAACTAGTTTTACTTTGCCTGTTTCAAGTCAGGAACCCAAATAGATAGTTTTCGATTGATATAATTTCAGTAAAAGTTGTTTCCCTTTGCAGCCATGATGGGAGGTCAACAAGCACAAATTCTTTAAAAAATCAACAAAATTCTTCTTAAGCTGACCACCATGACCACTAGACATTAGTAAGTTGTTTTTCTGAACAATCATTATTTGTTTAAAACTTGAATAACTAATAATAACGATCTAGCAAGAATCTGTTATCCGAGCTTGTGCCACAGGTTTTAATTCAGATAGTTAAAACAGAAATGAACCAGTTTGCACTCCAAACTGGAAGCCAAGGATAAAATTCAATTTATGTCATATTGAATAAATGTGCTTCGCCGAGCGCAGCTGGATACGACCGCAGATAAGTGAAAAATATCATCTTGAATGAATGAGATTGATAGTTTAAAAATATTTGACCAAATACTGCTACCTATTTTACATGATGGAGACTACATATACATGTATATAGAGTCTCTTTAATTTTTGGCATCATCATATGTTTCAATAGACAAAAGAAGGCCCTGAAACCCCAATGGTGTGTGATATCATACCTCTAATTTGCTTCTACAGATTCTCATACTTTTATACACAGTGTTAGTGGTTGAACTGATTAAACAAATAAGACACTGTCTCTTTTTAGGTATTGTTTGGATTGTTTTCCCCATTAACCTACATCCCTTATCTCCTAAAATATACCACGGTTTGTATTCATTACAGATTTTATTTTTAGTTTCTTTCTCCATTAACAGTTCATACATTACATGTTTATAATACTAATAGACATATTTATCAAATTTAAAGGATATTATCTGGACTCTGTGGTTGACGTTGCTACTGGAACGAACATATGTCATATCCATTTTAGGCAGTGCCTTGTTCATCCAAAACGACAAAAGGTACATTGCCTTTTCGAGATTATAAAGAAACTGAGAGGGAAGTGTACAGTGAAGTGTCAATTCAGGTCGACTTTCAACAGATACATATCAAAAAGAGAGGTTACAGTTTCACTTACAGCCATGCTTGGGTTCGATTTGGTAATGTAAACAACAGAAGGATAAAACTGTTTCTTTTGATAGTAGGCATTTCCAATTACTGCTCCTGTAAGAACAAAACTTAACCCCGTCAACAAAACCGTTCTCATTTTCAAAACATTTAGGTTTGACATCTCATCACAAAATGGCGTTTGAAATTAGAGTAAACTCTAGATGTACTCCAAACAATATGAACAATTCCGAAGATATATGAATTAAGTCCCTTTGACAGAAAGGCTGATTTATCAGCTTTTTAAAGTTACTTCCCATTAGTGTGTCGTGGCTATAAATTATTGGATTTGTAACAATATGTATTAAATGAAATTGGATTGCCACGTTCGTAACGCGATGTTTTGTATTATACTTAATATGCTCTGATGTGATAAAATTGAGATGACACGTGCAACGTGACATCACGACTGTACAAACTAGAGCAGCTTGAGGAAATCCATGTGGGAAATAATAAAAATGATTTGTCTTTGATATATAACTTTTAGTTATAAATTATGAAATTTAGCAAATTAGATAACTGGATATAAGAAAAATTGTAAAATTATACTAGTAGGCTCCTATAACAGTGACCAAGGACATATAACTAACATCTAGACTAATATACGTCCTTGTGTAAGCGTACTTTCATTCCGCCGTGTGTTTATTCCGGGTAACTGTTTTTCACTAGAGAATATTTGATGTAAATAGTATGAAAGCGTCTATCTTGATATCGTTGTTTTGTTTGTATTAGATCGGTGTATTGTTTACATAAATAAATGGGTTAAAATTAAAATGATTTTCAAGGAACTTGGCCAGTTTTATTAATCTGAGTCAATCTAGTAAATAATATTGATGATGATGAGGAGGATATTTTTATAACTCAAAATACTTTATCAATGATCAGGACATTGAACTTGATTCAAACCAATTAATTTAAAGAGCAGATTTGTTCTTGCATAAAGTTTCAATTACAGAAGCATCTTTTGATATTGACATAGAAGATATGATTTAATATCCAAGTCGACCGAAAAGCAAATACATAGAAAAACTTCGGCAATCCAATAAATATAAATATTACAATTAGTGACAATTTAAAAGCATATGATTTTATAGATTTGCATAGAAAGATTGTTTAAAACTCATTCTTTAATAAGCATTATTGTGTTATCGTGTGTTCAAAATCGGAGTACTACTGAATCACTTCATCAGAGACATAGTATTATATGTCTCTGACTTCATCAATGAATGGATCTAAAGCACTAGTGTAAGTAATCCCGCCGGGTATAAAAATAACTAGTGCAATCATTCCGGTACAAAATCACTAGTGTAATCATTCCTGGTTCAAAAACACTAGTGTGAACATTCCTTGGATGAAAACTCTCCACTTTTTACAAAAATCAACTATGCAATTTTCAAATACACTAACTGAAAAACTATTAAGCCACATTTTATATATATTTCCCTTCAAAAAAAACTTTTTAGAACCTTATAATGACTGGTGGATGTTTTACACTGGACCCGGATAGAAAACCCTAGTGATGTTTTGTTGGTGGATAAAAATCACTGGGGATTTTCTTCCTCCAGATAAAGTACACTGGCGGAATCAAACCACTGTTACACTTGCAGTGACGTTACGTACGGTATTTGCCGCGGCGGTCTTTTTTTTTCATTTGACCACATCTTAATTCTACGCATTATGAATAGTAAATTTTCTTGATTCATCATTTGAATCGAAATGAAATAAAACCTGATTTTAATAAAAGGAGTAGAGTCAGGAACCCCAATAAACGGCCCTGTAAAGGTGTTTTTTTTTAAACTTTAATTATCAAACGGTAAATCTAATATATGTACATGTATGTATTGCTAAAAGTATGATATTTGAAAGTATATAATAAGAAAAAGTTATGTACCTGCTTCATATTTATATAGATATCAGCCTAAAAAGGAACAGATTTCATTTTCATCACTTTTCTTAGAAATTTTCAACTTTTTCAACCTTATTTCATGATTTTATATGTGGCTCCAACCCTCGCCCATTGACATTTTTGTTGAAAAGTAAAGAATATGGTATATAATGAATATTTCAGCAAAAAGATTTGTGGGCGAAGGGTGGCGCCACTGTAAATTTTGCAGAAAACTGTCATAAATTTTGCATTTTGCTTTTAACATGTGTTTTCATCAAATTTTCAACACATTTTCGTAGTGAAAAAATTTCAGATTTTAAGGGCCAATATTATGAGTTAGTGAACCGACTCTTTTAATGTTATGTTTTATTGTATAATCAGAAACGCATGTGTATATCTCTGATATAATTTAGCAATGATTCTGCGCTCATAATGCCATTTTTGCTGTGTAAGACGAAACAACAAGAACCAGCCATCCAAATCAAAACGAAGAAAAAAATCCAAACTGCTGAATGGATTTCGATAACATTTGAATAGGTTGGATATAATATGATCATATTAATGCTGTTAAATGGTCACGATAAATATCATGTCAGTTCGTAGTCTAGCGGCCATTTTCGAAATTCCGTAGAGCTGCAAGATTTGAAAATTCGAGTCAGACACAAAAATGAAAGCAAGCACTTCGATATTATCATATTTTCACATAAATTAAAGAAAAGATATATCACCTCAACATTAAAATGTGATTTTATTAGATTTTACGAACACATTTTATATTTTAAACATAACTTATATCTTTGGTTTTTTTCCACATTTTCCGTGTCTCCCTTAAATCATTTTACCATAGAGCCATTATTCAAGATTTTTCAGTACCATGATAATTTAGGGTATTTCAAATTTTTGACAGACAAATGAAATATGTAAACAATTGTTATTACTGAAATGTGATTATTTAAAGATTTTTTTAAGCCTTCTATTTTAAGGAAACGCTCAATTTTTCTTCAATTTCCATCAAGTTGTCCGTGTCTCCCCAAAATGTTACCAAGTCCAAACTGAACGTTTTTGCACGGAACTCAATGTATAACGTTATCTATGTAATTATATTTCCATTGACTGAAAGTGTTGCATGTATATGTCTTTTCCGTTTGACACGATCCTGCACAATGCAATTATTTTGGGAGATAAATTTTGATAATTTCTTTTAAAAGGTTATAAATCAACATGAAAAATTTGACTAACATCAAAGTTTTGTAAACCATGCGCTGATCTTAAAGGCGTCGAAGTTTTCGGATAAATAATAATATATCATGCAAAAGCTTATTTATTTCTATTGCAAAAAACTTTCATTTTAGGGTTATAGTATGTTTGAAAAAGTACCTGGCACGATTCTCAGGGCGGATCCAGCCATTTTTAAAAGGGGGGGTCCCAACCCAGGATAAAGGGGGGGGGGGGGTCCAACTATATGTCCCCATTCAAATGCATTGATCGTCAAAAAAAGGGGGGTTCCAACACCCGGACCCCCCCCCTGGATCCGCCACTGATTCTCCTAAAATAATCATACGATTTTCTTGTTTTAATTTACGCGTAAAATTATTCCGTAATTAACCCGAAATTTTCGGATAATCGTATACGTAGCAAATGCTTTAATTAATAATTAATACCGAAGCATTGGTTTTCGGAAACTTGTAGAGACATATGTCTCTGCTATAGTGCCTAACAAGATTTTGTGAGGTAGACGAAATTGACCTTAAAACGATCGTATTGAATTCATAAATTCATAAAGTTTCTACCCGGACACATTATTCTTACTCCACACCGACCAGTCTTTTCTGATTCTTCTAAATGCAGCGTGCTTAGCAAAGAAGCAACATATACCAATTTTAAAGTCTAGTTCGACTTTTCTGGGCTTCAAACACCGAGAACCTCCTTCACCGAGGCGAACACTCTACCACAGGACCACCGAGACGGTTTAAATCTAGGCTTGAATATACCATAATGCATGCCAATAGAATGTCTTAGTGGCCCATTTTTACATCGCGATGACCGTGAGGGCATTCCGATGTATTGCTATCGCCTAGATTTCCATTACGTAACTTTCGTTTTGGGTTTATAACCGATCTATAAACATGATAAATACGCGGATATTAACGAGTGCAAACTAACATTCCTAATCGTTTGTTATAGATACATCTCTTCAATGAATACTGATAAAAATATTTTTGTTTAGAATATAAATTAATAATATGAAAATGTTTTGTGTTAAAGCATGCGGAAGAATATCTCAAGAACGTTTTGCGACAATCCCGGCAAGGACCGGTAACTCTGTAATTGTTTTTGCGGGAAAATATGAATGCTTACTCATATCCAATCTTTTAGAAAAATCGAACTTTTACAGAAGAGTGTCCACCATGCACTTGCAATGCACTTTTATTAGAATAGTATAATAGAATGATATACAAATGGATGAAAATTATATATACATGTAACTGTTATATTAATATAATATATAACAACAAACCAGTGTTTACTGATTTGTATCACTACAATATAATAGTTATTACGGTGAGGTTGAATTTCCTATCATTTATTCATCATCCACGCACGAACTTGTCTCAGAAAAAAATATATCTCTGTACATTAACCTCAGTTTCAGGTATAGAGATGTGATTTTTTTCTGTGACTAGTGCTTTTGACCATCCACAAGAACTTGCGGTCATCCGATGTTCAGTTCTTCAGTACTTTGATTTATTCTCCTTGTAACTGGTTAGATTTTTTTAGACTTAACTTTACTATTGAAGTTGACTTAATATATACAGCATTTTAAGACTGATATAAAACCCATATGACGAGAATGAATAATAAACTTGACAGCAAAAATGCACAAGAAAAATTTAGACCAAGAAAATAAAAAAACGATGCTGAGCATGCATTTGAAAAGACTAGAAAGCAACATTTCTCAGAATGAAAAAAACATTCATAAAGTGTAGGAGTTTATATCACTGCATATATAATTTCTCCCTATTGAACATACATCTTTACATACCCATCTCATTATTTACCCTCACCCTCTCAATGCTTCCTATTACTCCCTCCCTCCATTTCTGTCTTATCCATACCAACCATAGCCACCTATATTAGCATACTCTATGTGTTAGATGCCCTATGTAAAGTTTGTTAGTTGATGAAAAGATTTTTAATCATAAAGTACCGGTGTCATTTGGTATGTTGAACCCTCTGAAAAGTGAACCCGAGGTCAAAATACCATATA